GCAGAGGCACCGACGCTGGGAAACACATGGGTCAACTTATTTGCTGGTAACAGATCTTCTTAAAATGGTATGGCACTTTCTTATATCCCACCAGAAATAGTTGATGGACATATTGTGGTGAAGCTAGATATGGACGAAATTGATAGTCAAACTAAAAGGTGGCAGTGTGCCCTAATTATCTATGTAATTGGGGATACACCAGGGTATAAATATATGCAAAGGTACATAGCTCAAAATTGGAGTTGAGTGGCTGCTCCAGATCTGTTCTTACATGAGGAAGGTTATTACATAGCTAAGTTTCATACGCTTGGTGACTTGAAGGATATCCATTATGGAGGTCCATACACAATTAATGGTAGACCAATAATTTTAAAACAGTGGACTCCTGATTTTGATCTTAAGGCAAAATTCTGACTGAGATACCATTGTGGATTACTTTACCAAAGTTACCAATGAGTTGCTGGGGAAATAAGACTTTGAGTCAAATGGCAAGTGCCATAGGAAAACCACTATTTGCATATGAGTGTACAACAAAGCAGATGTGTATCTCTTATACTAAAATCTGGTGGAGGCAAATGTCACTAAAAAGCTTCTAACAGAATTAACACTGCAAAAGCCTTCAGGGAGAATGTTCCAACAACAAGTGTTGTATGAATGGAAGCCACAATACTGCACAGAATGTATGAAGATTGGGTATGATTGTGAATTGACTAAAAGACAAGCAAAGAAGAGCAGCCTAAAGACAGGAAAAAATAGGGTAAGGTTACCACAAGATGGCAAATTAAAGGACAGGGGCAGCAGCAGTCAGCTGAGCAGAATGATGGAGAAACCAAAGCATTGGTACAAGAACCTGCTACTATGCTATCAGTTGTTGAAACTAATGTGACCCCTGCAGCAACAAAGGATAAGGGGAAAGCAATTGATAGTCAAAAACCTGAACAGCTGGAAGAATGGCCTGTGCTAACTAGTAATAGAAGAACTTTGACTGGGACACCATCAATACCAACTAAGAATGGATTCCAAATCTTTCAAAGAGAAGATGAGAGAATTGAGAACCCTATGCCACCTGATAGGGGGGTGGAACAGTCCTACAACAATGACTTGGTTAATTTGCAATATCAGGGGTTTGAATAAGAGGTATAAACAAAAGGAAATAAAGCAGTACATAAAGGGCAAGCAGATCAAGCTAGCTGGTCCAGTAGAAACAAAGGTGAAAGAAGCAAAAGCAGAAAAGGTGATTAGTAAAATAACACCTGGATGTAACAGACTAACTAATTATGAACATGTTGTGAATGGAAGGGTGTGGATTGTATGGGATGATCAAATGTATGCAGTGCAGCAACTTGATAAGCATGATCAGTTCATTCACTGTCAAGTAACAGGGAAACAAAATGGGCTACAATGCTATCTCATTGTGGTATATGGACAAAATATAGCTTATCAAAGGAAGAGTCTATGGTAACATCTCAAAAGAATAGCAAAGGCAACTATTGGACCTTGGATAATAGGGGGAGACTTCAATGCCCTACTTACTCCTCAAGATAGAACGTCTAAGGTGCATGTGACTACTGCAGACATTAGGGAATTTGCTGAATTATGCCATGATATTTGCATTGCGGAGCTTCCATAGAGAGGGCATTACTTTACTTGGACCAACAAACAACAAGGCGATGACAGAGTATGGAGTCGCATAGATAGGGTGTTTGAAAATGATGTATGGATGATGAAATATGGCCATCTAGTCACAGAATATTGGGAGCCTTATATCTCAGATCATAATACTATGATTATCAATATTAGGCAACCTAGGACTCAAATCAAATGCCCTTTCCGGTTCTTTAATGTGTGGACAAATCACCCAACATTCAAGATGATAGTTGCTGAAGGTTGGAGCAGGAACAAGGCATCAGGGAAAATGAAGAACATTTGGCTCAAACTTAAAGAGATGATGAGTCAGTTTAGACATCTAAATGCAACCGAATATAAAGGAGTAACTGAAAAGATTAAACAAGCTAGACAAGCAATCTCTCATATTCAAAGCCAGATGCAAACACAATATTCTGATCTTCTACAAGACCAGGAGAAGGAGTGGTTGCATAAGCTGGAAACATGGTCATTGGTGGAAGAAGGCATACTACAGCAAAAGGCACGAGCTAACTGGATCAAATTGGGAGACTCCAACAATAAATTCTTTTCTAGAGTTATCAAGGAGAGACAGCAAAAAAAAGCAGATCACTGAAATACAAGCACTATCAGGTAGTACTATCACAGAGCCAACAGCTATCAAGGAGGAGATAGTTTCTTTCTATAAAAGTCTGATGGGATCTAGGGCACATGTATTTCCTGCTGTTAATATGATGGTTATGAGGAATGGTCCAACTTTAACACAACAGCAACAACAAGAGTTAAGTGCAGAAGTAACTGATCAAGAGATATATGAGGGGATGAAAGATATAGGAAGTGATAAAGCACCTGGTATAGATGGTTACAATGCAAAATTTTTCAAGAAAGCTTGGCCAATAATCAAAGAAGAAGTGTATGCAGCGGTGAAAGACTTCTTTCACACAAGAGTAATGTTTCCAGCAATCAATTGCACTACCATTACTTTACTGGCTAAGATTCCTAATCCCGTGACAATCAAGGATTTCAGACCCATTGCTTGTTGCACTGTATTATACAAGCTTATCTCAAAAGTCATTGCTGGAAGATTACAGAAGGTAATGCCCCACATCATCTCTGAAGCTCTAGCAGGGTTTATTCCCGGAAGGAAAATTGCTGATAACATTATATTAGCTCACGAACTAGTCAAGGCATATAACAGAAAACATATTTCTCTTAGATGTATGTTGAAGGTGGACATGATCAAAGCCTATGTTTCAGTGGAATGGGTGTACTTAGAGCAGCTTATAGAGTACTTATGCTTTCCAACAAGGTTCATGCAATGGGTGAAAACATGTATGTCAACTGTGAGCTATTCGATCATGATTAATGGAGAATTGACAAAGCCTTTTGTAGCTGCCAAAGAACTTCGACAGGGTGACCCCATGTCACCATTTTTGTTTGCAATTGCAATGGAATACTTGAGCAGATTACTTAGAGGATTGAAGCAATTCAAGGACTACAAATTCCATCCAAGGTGTGGCAAGCTCAACATAACTCACCTCAGCTTTGCAGATGACCTTCTTGTGTTTGCCAGAGGTGACAGTAGCTCAGTTCAAGCTTTGCATGACTGCTTCAAACAATTCTCTGCTGCCTCTGGATTACAAGCCAACCTCACTAAGAGTGCCATTTATTTTGGAGGGGTGACACAGACAGAATAGGTGAGGATTCTACAAAATACAGGATATTCATTAGGGGAACTGCCTTTTAAATATTTGGGGATTCCTTTGGATACAAAGAAGATAACTATATTGCAATGGCAACCGCTGATTGATAAAATAGTAGCAAGAGTATCTTCTTGGACTGCTCGAAAACTGTCTTATGCTGGTAGAGTGCAATTAGTACAGACAGTTATCTTTGGCATTCAATCCTATTGGGCTCAATTGTTCATTATGCTAGTAAAAGTGATGAAATTAATGTAGGCCTATTGTAGAAGCTACATATGGTCTGGCACTAATACAATTACAAAGAAGCATTGATACCTTGGGAAAAATGAGTCTGCCTAAATCTGTAGGAGGCATAATTTGATAAATCTTCAAGTATGGAATAAGGCAGTTATCACCAAAATTCACTGGGACTTGGCTCATAAGAAAGACGAAGCTTGGATAAGACGGATTCATACATACTACATCAAAGGGCAAAGTGTGCCGGAAATGAATATCCTACAACAGGCAAGTTGGATGGTGAGGATGATTATGGGGGCTAGGAAAACAATGCAACAAGTGCCAGAAGTAAAACAAAGGCAGAGTGTGGTTAAACAAATCTATCTAGGCCTATTGGGAAATCACAACAAAGTGGAGTGGAGATCTTTGATATTTCATGATGAGGCTAGACCTAAAGCAGTGTTTGCAATGTGGATCCAATGCCATGGAAGAATGCTAACAGTGGATACATTAACCAAGTGGGGAATCCAAGTAAGCCCACGATGCAGCTTATGTCGAGCTGCAGATGAATCACATTTTTATCTGTTTGGTGAGTGCATCTTCTCCAGAGTAGTGTGGTTGAGATTACTGAGATGGCTACAAATATGGGATGGCCCAATGAATCCTTGGTCACAGGTGGTTACATGGTTGATTCTCAATCCAAAGGAAAGTCATGCAAAGCAAGAATATTGAAGATGATGTATGTAGAATACATTTATGGGATTTGGAAAGAGAGGAACAGCAGAATATTTGAAGATCATTCAAGGAATGAAGAACAAATAGCAAGAGAAGTGGCATGCATATGCAACATTAGAGCACAAGGGGTAGTAAGAACAAAGATGCAGCAGCTTCAGTTCTAAAAAGACAAAGTGCAGCAGTTACGAAAGACCAGAAGACAATGATAGTTATAGAAGTCCTTATGTACTGCATATAGTATAGTTATAGTGATAGAAGAATGTAAAGATTATAGCAAGTTGAGGATGACTTTGTTGGTTTGTAATGATTCCTTTAGTGATTAATAAAAAATATAATGACCAAAAAAAGAAGAATAAAGAACGAATAAGAAAAAAATTCTACATTTTAATATTTAAATTTTTGTTTCTGTAATGTTAATATTTTGGTGTTACTATTATATGTTATTGTTTTCAACTGAATTTACTGTCATTGATTAAATTAAGTCATGATTTGCAGTTGAGTTTTATCCTCATAAGTTGCACCCTAAAACCATGGTGGTGATCGGACTTCAAACTAGAATAAGGGGATGATAGGACATCCGTAAAATTAAGATGTGTAAATAAGTTTTCTCGACAAGTTCAATATACAACTTATGTATTTTTCCTTATGTTACTCTGACTTTCCCAAAATAGTTGGGGGCATATTGAATCCTCCAAAACCAAAAGTAGTACTACTTTTGAAGAATTCGACACGAATGCGATAACATTTTAGAGAGTCCGCTCATGATAGAGTTACAAATAGCTGATGACTATTATTATATGGATTATTAGTCTTATAACTACTTGAACACAATGCTTTAAAATAGTACACCAATACTAATTAATATTACTAATACTAAATCTTTTAATCTTAGATCCTGCTGCTATTAAAGGATCCTCTCTTTTTCAGAGTCCTTGTAGATCACCACCTCTTGCCTTCAAATGATTTACAAAATCAGTTACAATATTAACCCTTAAATCCCCGGTTTAATACAAAGATTCAAAAGCACAAATAATCCCAAGATTCCACCACATGTAAATTAATATTGCAAGATGTCTGCAGTCAAAATTGGCTGATTGGAATACACATAATTCCAAGAATCATTCATAATAAAACCATCAGCCATATACTCATTATTTTGACCATTCAAGAAACTGATGATTTGTGTTAAGGACTCAAATCTGTTGCTAAGTTCAGCCACTTGTGCTCTCAAGATTGAGTTCTCAGCTTCAACATTGAGATAATGTTGGGTTGTGACATTCATAGTGGTCAAAATTTGGTTATTTTCTTTCCTTTGATGAGCTAATTGGGACATAAGATCATCCAAATGCTTTTGTTTCCTCATTCTTGATCTTCGAGCCGATTCGCGGTTCGATATCATTCTCTTCCTCTTCCTCTGATCCATTAATTGTTGAAGATCTTCTTCTGAGCCTGAGTTCTGAAGTGTATATGACCCTGAACCTGATGATGTCCCACTTGATGAAGCCATGACCAAATTTTCTTTTTATGACCAAAACTTAGGAACAATAGTGTAAAAATAATAATAATTGAAACTTAGCAGGAAGCTAGGGGGGCGAATGGGATTAGATACCCCAGTAGTCCTAGCCGTAAACTATAGATACTGGGCGTTGTGCATATCGACCCGTGCAATGTTGTAGCTAACACGTTAAATATCCCGTCTGGGGTGCAGAATGAAATTTAAAGGAATTGACAGGAAACAATAGTGTAATAATAATAATGGAAAATTAGGAGGACCTAAAATAGTGATTTTGGTGCAAATAAAGGGTACTAATATGAATATACTAGTTTGTGAAACTTAATTGTAATAGGGATAATACTTATTTAAAGGAAAGTAGGGAGCATAATTAATTATGAAATGCAGTAAAACCAGTAGAGGAAAACAACTGAGAAAGATTGCACTAAATGAGTCCTGCGCCTATATGTGGAATTTATCATAAAACCAGAAAGGAAGAGTTCACTGAGAATTGCAGACATGAATTTCAAAGATAAGAAATAATAAGTTTAGCATCAAGATTTGCTTGAAACTAAAAAAGAAAAATATTAAGGAGATTAAAACAAGTAAAAAGTGAACCCTTTGAAACAGAAAAGAAGCAGAGTTTATAGGTTGAAACTATGAAGAGAAAAAGAAGGAAAAAGAGAGAGAGGGTTGTAGAGGTGTTTTGGCTGGGATTTTATAGCTGAAAAAGTGGGACAGCATCTGAAATTTTGTTTTTTTTTTTTTTTTTTTTAATAAAAAGATTAATTATCAAGGGAAAATCAAGTGGAAAAAAAATAGAAAGAAGTTTGGAATCTTTAGGGAAAAGGGGTAAGGTGTGGGGAAAAATATGATGGGACATGTGGGGTTGGAGCAGAAAACTCCACAACCGTCTACATCCAGCTGGGGTGCAACATTGCTAGACTCAGTTAAAAGTCTCAAAAGTAATGAACTATTATTGCTAAATTTTCCTTATATATACATGTGATTTGGTTTACAAACAAGTTAATATAGTTTTTTTTGGTAAATATTTACTTCTTCAGTATTTTAAAAATATTTTTTTATTTTTACTTCTCAGAAGATAATTTCTTTTTTTCCTATTATACTCACAATATTAATTATTCATTTCAAATAATTTTCTCAAATTCACTACAAATATGATATGGGTATCAGGATAAATTATGTCAGTCATTTATTATTTCTTAATGGTTGTACAAAGTCCATAATGAACAAGTAAAGATGGACGGAGGAATTATATATATATTTGGTGTTGTTCGTGGAATAGTACAACATCACGTGGGAGGTAAAAGAAACAAGAATCTCTGATCATTCCAGGTAAAAGGAGTATCCTAATCGTCCTCAAAGTTTTCTGATGCACAACTCTTGGAAAAAGATTTCCCCAACCTTGGTCACATTCCCACTAAACCAAACTAATCGAGCCATAATGGTGCAGCAGATGTGACTGCTCTTTCCTTAGCTAGAGGTCTCGGGCTCGAGTCCTGGGTATGGAAAAATACGTGGTAGGGAGCGCTTCCCTCCGAATGGGACCCTACGCGGCGCGAATCCGGATATAGTCGGGCTCTATTGCGGATACCTGACACCGGGTTGGAAATCAAAAAAAAAAAAAAAAACTAACTGATCGAGAGTTGTACTCTTTTACATTCTCATCATTTTTTTTTCTTACTCCGAGGGTTATTTGGTACACGGACTAAATTATTCCGGGATTATAATCTCTGGATTAGTTTCTCACCTAGACGCTGAGATAAAATAATTTCAAATTTGATGAGATAAGGTGAAATATCCTGGATTAGGTATGTGATTAAATTCATATTATGAAATATCCACGATAAATTTATACCGTCAATCAAACACAATATAAATTTAATCTCATACCGTATCCCACCTTATCATGCGTACCAAACGACCCTAACACTGTAAAAGATTTCTTGCATTGTTAATGAATTTTAACATCTAAAAACATGTTATCATATTTTACCATATTATTAATTACTATTTGTCTAAATATTCACCTGTAATTACATAATAAAGAACTTAAACTCTTCATTTTAGGTTAACTACAAGATTGGGTGTTAAGGTTCAAACCATATTTTGATAATCACTAATACCGTTGCATTTAGTGCTTTATCGATAATTAACATTATCGTTCATATGCCTAACAGGAGACATATGATGGCGAAGATGGATATAAAAAAACACAAGTATCGAAATAATTATAGTGACAGAATACAGATAGCCTCAAGTTTGAAGCCATTTGAAAAAATTAGGAACGTGAAGTTGAAGCCATGACCTCAAGCCTTTTCATGTTCACTCCCCAGTTAAGTGAATCATGAGCATTAAGGGGTCGTTTGGTATTAGAAAAAATAATGCAATCATAGTTTTGTGCATTACTAATTTCTTATTTGATAGTATATTTTTTCAACCTATTTGGTATTATCCTATGTATAACTGATGCATAGCAAACCAGTATTAAAATCGCAAGGGTTTTTAATACTTGCATAAACATGGTTAAAGACCATAATTGCCTCTCAAATCCCTCAAAACCTATTTCAAATACTTTCCGCCATATATTTGTGGAGGGTATTTTTGGAAACAACTAAGTTTTTAAAAAATTATGCAATGCTTTACTTCACCAAACCAAACAATGTTGCTTTATTGTTATTGTAGCTTTTTTTCTTGCTTATTGCCTTAACAACTGCAAAAATCTCAGATTATGTACGGACTGCTGCTGGTAAATGGGTCATTCCATGTGCAGACCACTTAGATTCCTTCTGATTTCTAAGGCATATTGCAGGAATTGGAGATCTAACACTGCTACTCTTCTCTTTTGACGGTGCCACAAGTTTTTAATGGCTTAATTAGTTCTAATACCTGGTCTTAATTAAAGAATGAGATTAATTAACTTCTTAACTATGCACTAATAATGTCAGATCTAACGATGAACTTGCTGGTGCGGTAGAACCATTGATTCACTATCCATCTTATATAAATGTGAAAAATAATACACTACAACATTATATATCTATAGCTACGAATTTGAAAATTATAGCTAATACCTAATAATAGCCACAAAAATTAGAATTTTATGCTATTTACAAAATCATATAATTTCCTTGCCACGAAATTAAGTTGGGAAAGTTGATTCTTCATATTAGCTATAATTGCTAATAATTGTGGCAATAACCACCTAAATAGCTATAAATTTATTGTTACAAATAAATTTTTGTAGCTAATTATATGTTTTTGCTACGCATCAATAGTGACTGTAGCAATAGTAACCTTTTAGCCAGAATAAATTATTTGACACAAAATATTGTAGCTAAATGAATATTTTTGCCTTAAGTTCTAAAAAGTTGTGGCAGTAGTTAAATGATATAGCCACAGATTTATTGCCATAATTGAATTCTGTAGCTAATCATTAATTTTTGCCACGAGTTTGAAATTACTACCGCTATATTAACTTTTTAGCCACAATAAATGTAGCTAAAGGAATATTTTTTCTTCAAGTTATAAAAAGTTGTGGCGGTATAGGTAGAATTAGCCACATTTTTTTTTGCTATAATAGAATTTCGTAACTAATCATTAAGTTTTGCCACGAGTTGAAACGTAATATAGCAACATTAACCTTTTAATCACATAATTATTTAAATCAAAATGTTACTAAATAAATAATTTTGCTGCAAGTTCTTAAAATCCATGACAATAGTTGGCTTAATAGCTATAATTATTTATTATGATAAAATAATGTAACCTCAAATTTATGGCTACAGTAAAGTTTTATAACTAATCATTAGTTTTTGCCATAAGGTAAATTTACCGCAACAATAGCAATCTTCTAGCCGCATTAAATATTTGAAACAAAATTTTGTAGTAAAAAAAAAGTTACTTTCTTATTTTAAGAAAATAAAAATAGCTACAACTAATTATCGGGACAAAATTAATAGCCAAAAATTTAAAGTGATAATAAAATTACGAGTTAACTATAACTTTAGTCATACATTTATGATTTTCACCGCAATAATAATATTTTAACCACAATAAGTTATTTGTATAAAATTTCATATGTAAATTTTACTATTTCAATGACAAAACATAGAGTTGCTCAAACAATATTAAGTTATAAAAATTCAACTATAACTATAAATGACCAAAGCTCCAAATACATACAATCAATATATTTAACACTACAAAAAATTTTACGACATTATAATTCATATTAATTTTTATATAATTATGTTATAGCTATTTCGAAGAGTTACGAAATTAATTGATACTTAAGTCCACATGAAAACTAATTATATTATAATTCTAATTAATATAATGAAATTATAGAAAATTAATATGTGGATGACTAATGTTACAAATTAAACCACTATAATCTTGTACAATTACATTGTTATATATATATATATATATATATATATATATATATATATATATATATATATATATATATAGAGAGAGAGAGAGAGAGAGAGAGGGAGAGTTAAAAATATGTGAAAATTAATTACTTTCTTAATAAGTTTCTAATTGTCATTTTAAATTATACATTGAATATAAGAATTGAGAATTAAATATGATAAAGATACAGGAAGAGGACCGTGTTTCTCTCGTGACTATTATTTGATATTTTATAATGTTTACATAATTCTATATTATTAAGCGTCACTTCAAAAAAAAATTAAATTTTAATATGGTTTATATAGGAGTGAATAACAAAACTAATTTAGTATAACATAATTCATATTTTAAAAAGAATATACTTGTAAATATCTATACAATTTAAATAAGTATGTAATTAATGTTCACTAGATTTGAATAATCAATATCAAATTTAGACTATATGGTTGTATCTATATACATTGATCACTAATTACACTCAATTTAGATAAATAAAAAAGTTATCTATTTAATGGTCTAATACTATTTTAATAACTTAATAACTATCATAATCTAATTAAACACAAAAACTAAGAAGTTAATATAATTAAAATAGGAGTAAATAACAAAACTAACGATATCGTATAGGACAAACAAGTTGTAAGGAATATGATATATTATAGAATATTTTTTTTTTGGTAATTAAAATTTTTATTAATCACCAAAGATCATGCTTTACAATGCCATAGTCCAGCTTATACTCAGCTGACTATCAAATCTCATCTAAAATACTAGCTAACCATAACTATGTTAACTACTATTCTACTATATCAAGAATTGCTGCATCTGCTTTCTAGTTCTAGGACTTCCTCTAACATTATATATGTAAGCTAGCTCTCTTGCTAAGACTTCACTGTTGCGATATTTGTTCTCAAATATACGAGCATTCCTTTCCATCCATAGTGCATATAAAACTTCAGTGATCACCATCTTGAAAATACTGGCTGATTTTCCTTTAGCTTTGCTAATGATCCATTGAAGCCTTTGGTCCCAGGTATGATTCTTTGGCTGGTCCTCTTGAATCCATTGCATTACTTGCTCCCATAAGTCTTCTGAAAATGAGCATGACAGGAATAAATGTTCTCTTGTCTCTATATGTCCTTGGCACAAAACACACTGTTGGTTTATGTTCATTCCCCATTTAGCCAGTCTATCCTTGGTTGGCAATCTTCCTTGTAGCATTAACCATATATTGAACACTGCTTT